GATGACAACAGAAAACTGGGATGCAGTGGAGATGCAAGAAATTATGGAAAATACACAGATGTCTTGTTCTAAGTAACATTTAAGCACAATCGAAAGTACCATGAATCAAACAGAAAATAACACCATTTATTAATTCCACCAATTTAAATGTCCTAAGAACAAAGATTATTAATCCATGATTCTATTTTTTACCCAGAATAGATGTGTTCTGCACTTTTAATTTGTATTTGCTTTAAAAAACACACATGTAGTCACCCACTGGTCACTGTGTATAGTAAGTGGAGTAAGTTTCTTTCTGTGTCTGATGCACAAGGAAAATGGGAATATATTTATATTAGAGGCTGTTGCTTTTCCAAGCTTATGTTTTTGGCTTTGAAAGGCTCCTTTTCAATAAGATACCTGCTAGCAGGCACTGATGCTGTATCACGCTGAAGACCAGCAAGCAAGCCTGTATATGCTTTCCTTAAGTAACAAGATTTCCTGAGAAGGAAGACTTGAATTACACTGGGAACATCATTTCATGTTTCTTACAGCAACATACTGTGGTAGATCCCAATTTTTTTCCTAAGAATAATGCTCTCCTATTCTGAGTGCTACAGCTGAACTTGCAGAAAGCAGTGAGCAGCATTTAGCAAATTGGTTGGGGTATAGTTGGAAGTTCAACTTTGATCATGCTTTGATCATACTGAAGAAAACAAGAGAGATCTCAAATATATCTTAAGACCTGTCTCTAGTGCTGAGAAGAGGCTGCTGAGAAATAATAGAGGAGGAACAGCTTCGAAATGTTCAGGGAGAAACAGAGAATAAAATGTGGAGATGTATCAGCATTTCTTAGCTTGTAATCTGCAGTGTGAAATACAATATATCGGAAGACTCACTGACTTACTTGAGTTATATTTTATTTGTTCCCTTTGGAATTTTTCCCTTACCTAAATATAAGAAAAGGGGTAAAAAAAAATCTGACAAACTCTGTTTACAAGGCACTTTCTGATTTATTTGATAATCAAGGTGGCTAATTTATTCCACTTTTGGCACTTCCTCTTGCTTATTGCTTGCCTATGTCTATGAGAGAGGCCAAAAGAAGAGCTTCAGGCTTCCTGGCTAACATCAGATGAGATGAAGCCTCTGGAAGGTCATTTCCTCTGGCTAGACAAAGATCTGACAATAAAACAAAGCCATATCCTGTGGATCTTATCCCATACAAGATCCACTTCAAAACATTCTTAAACCACCACGAAGGTTAGGTTTAGCATTGTTTAATTTAATGTATTTTATTTTAAAATTGGAGAGGACTCAGCTAATCTGCAGTGACTTGTTAACCTGAGATAGCTGTTTTGGACTGTATGGTCATAATAAGTTTTGTTATGTCAGAAATATTTGTTTTCCATAAAAGGTTGGCTCATCTCTTTGTTGACATAGGTCTCATTTTCTGGATCATCTAGAAACTTAACATAGAAAGAAATAAGTAAGATGATTATTAGCAGGCATGAACTAGTGTTCAACATTGCAGCTGTAGTTCAGGGTACACAAGCAAAACAGGACTGAGTCTTCTCCATAATTTGTCATAAATTCCTGTGGTAGGAAAATCTCAGACTACAATTTTTCAAGGGAAATTAAGAAGAAAAATGACTAATAGGAGCTAGTTTCCAAGCTTCAGAGACTATTACCAAAAAAAAAAAAAAAAACAACAAAAAACCAAAAAGAAACCAGCCTTGGTTAAATTAATCACTGTATATGTATATAAGGTATAAAAAAGTACTCCATTTTCAAAACTTGGGTTGGCATTTTGGTTATTTCTTAACAAGTTTCCTAATCTTTCAAGCTCAAATTAAGCTCTGTATAGCACTGACCTTAATTCTGTACATCGCTAATGTTCATATCTGGTCCATCTTTGAAAAGTCCACCACAGAGTTAAAGTATCAGGACACAGACATTTCCTAGCACTACACATTCTGGGATGGACTTGTTCACAAATAAACAAAATAGCTTTCTCCCTCAGGTCGATGTTTTTTCTGTAGCTTTTCCTTTTTGCAACAGTAATTTCTGTACAACTTGACAAATGAGAAGTGTAGCAGTTTCACTGACACTTACTGTCCAACACACACATACATTTCTTTTGAGTTACAAAGATGAAGACTGAGAGGGACTCATAGCAATCAAATCATCAAAACAAGGTGTCTAGAAAGGTCAAATAAAATGTCCAGATTTGCTGGCCAATCATCTAAATCATCCACCAAAGAATTTTCAAGAGGAAAATACTGCATTACTGTACAGCCACAGCCAATTGCTCACAATTTTTTTGAAAAATTAGGCTTTTAAACTGTTTAGTCAGCTGTGTCACGTTGCAAGAAAAAATGAAACAACAGTCTGCAATTAATAATAAAAATGTACATTTGTAGTGCTGGACATATCTTAAAACTTGCAGAATGCATGTTATTTTAAAGAGAATTAAATTTAACAAAAATTGTGATGGCATGCCCGCTATCTTTTAAAATGGTTTAGGAATGTATGTATTAGGCATCTATCATGTGTCTATGAAGAAAGGGCGAAGACAGAAGAAACAGAAACAGAACATTTGAAATGTATATTAAAATATGCCACAGAAGACTGTGGGTAAATTACAGGACTAACTAACTTGCAAGCGATTTTCTCATACAATTAAAAGGTCAAATCAGTTTGACCTGAACCTGAAACTTAATTTAAATATAGTTGCTGCTTTATAACATTTGGTTACGGAAGTTCCAAGCAGAGGTGAAATGCAGAATTTCTATAGAATCCTTTTGTTGTACCCAACCAGATATTGACTGCTATCATCCAAGGACACATCAAGCTATAGGCCATCATTGATCCAATATAGCTTTGGTTTTCCATCATGAAAGGTTCCCTTTCATTTGAGTTTTAAAGGATCTAGTGTGAGAACATAAAGACCCTGTATTCGTGACCTGAAATAATCTACTCTTTATGAAAGGCTGACAAATCACAGAGAATCAAAGAACGTGCCTGTGGCTGCAGAGGTTTTATCTGAGCCTAATCTCGGGGTCACTGGAAAATTCAATGCATAATTGAAGATTCATCAAAAAGAACTTGTCAGATTAGAAGCTACGTTTACTGTCTGAGTGAGAAATCCTGGTGTGTTGCTTTGCTGCTTTGCTTCCATGTTGTTTGAAGTCAGTTTCTTTTCTCAAAATTTCAAGAATAAAAGAAACAGCTAAAGGAAAATGAATAATCACATCAGGTGCCGGTTCGTCCTCCTAAAATGCAGGAGCTTTCTGCATGGAAATGGAATTTCTATATTTAGGATAAGTGATGCCACAAACCCCACCACCTCACTCTACCAAGTAGGCCACAGCCATCTCTCACATGATCTAGTATTCAACATTTTTTTTTTAAATTTCACAGGGTTTTTTTTTTCAGATCTTGGGCAAAGAGTAGAGAAGTGAAAAAAATAATCCTCTTGCAGTTCCCAAACCAAAAGAAAGTTGGATGTGTTTTCTAAAGCTCACATTTTGAATTATTTTTTATATAACAGTATACTATTCTGAGATGTTTATGAGATGCTCATGATGGAGAGCTGCCTGGTCCTGGATGAGACACCTGGCATGGAGCGATGGCTCACAGGGCAGAGTGTGGGTAGAGCTCAGCTGGGAACGTGCCTCACATACAGAGCAGACACGGCACGGGAGAGTGACGTGCTGATTCACCTTGTCTATTGAGCTTTATGAGCACTTTTCACAGCAAAATAAAAAGCAATTTGATTTAAAGAAGAATAAGAGAAAGAAAGGTTCAGAGACATTCCCATTAACAAAATGCCTAAAACTACCACCCTGAGTTTATAGATGACCTTATTCCAAGGGATCAATTATGGGTCAAAGCCATAAAGCTAAAAAACAACACTGCCAACAAATGGACAAGTCCATGCCCAGTACAGCATGTGGCCACCTATACTGTGATTAGTGACAGCAAAATGACAGAGGAGTGACTGGCAAGAAAGGGGATGGCAATTGTCTCCTGTGGAATGAGCGGATCTCTAATTTGAGGGAAGGAGAAAATAATGGGGCTGACCCCAGCTGCTGTCCTTGAGCTGCTGGGCTTACCCCGCACCCTGCCCGTGCCTGCTGCCATGCTTGGCTGCCGGTTCCCCTGCCCTCGGTGAAGCTCAGTGCTCCCCGCCTGAAGGAAAAGCAATCAGAGTAAGTAATATTCCCCTTTATATCAGTGGAAATATAATTTATTTCAGTTTACTCAACAAATCATCCTCTGCTTTGATAGACCACAGAAATCAAGCCAAGTGTTTCCTTTCTCCTCAGCAAGCTCTGCTTTGGCAGGGAATGCAGCCTACATCTAATGACCCCGTCCTATTCTAACTAATAGCAAAATTCTCATCAACTTCAAAGGGAGAAGGAACAAACCTCAGGCTTCAGACCTTGAACCTACAAAGAAGATGACAAAAGCAGTCCCCTTCAGAGCCTCATTTTAACAGTCCTTTGTCAGTAAGACAAGGAGATTTTATTAACCTGCACGGGGAATGTGCATGGAGAAATACAGAATCTCTGCTGGTACAGAGACACAGACATAAAATGGATATGTTTATTAACAAAATGTAATGTAATAATTCACTACAATGAATAAGTTTATAGCACAATACCATCATCTAGAACTAGCACCATATCCTCTCAACACAGTTAAATAACACTGTTATTATAATACAGTTAATAACTGTATTAATACAGTTAAAATTTACTTAGTATGTCTATATTTGGAAGTTAATTACACCTGCTGTTTTATTAAAGAATCATAAAGAGAAGTGTAAATGTTTAATTTACTAAGCAGTTGCTAAGTTTATTTGCCCTGCCGCTCTTTGACATAGATGTGGAAGGCTGAAGTCCCTTGAGAGTCTGGCAAAAGCTATTTCTACAATCTGATTTTGATTAATGAAATTCAGTGGAGTATAATTTGACAAACTACTGACATAACTGAAGGACAAAAAAATCATCTCTTACCTCCATTGTCTTTTAGGTGCAGCGCTATCTTGGTGTCATCTAGAAAGGAAATTCAAAGTTAGTTGGAAGAAAATGCGTTTTTCTAGGCCATGAGTCATTGTAGGAATGACTTTCTACTGTCAAAGAAATTAGAAAATGATGTGGTACTCAGCTCAATGAGAATTAGATTGTGGTGTTCTTACTCATTCTGAGCAACACTTTACTTCCTTACTACTAAAAAAAATTATGAGAGTGTTACAGTGTAAAGGAGGATTCAAAATACTGGCAAATAAGGGTACTAGAGTCTGTCTCATAACACAAATAATTCATTAATGCTACATGTTCATAGACAGCTTGAGCATATTAAGGACTACATGAACTAACATACAATAAAATAAGACAATGACTTCGCTCCTCTTCTAAGAATCATGAAAAGGTCTATCAGTTTTAGATTCTATTTATTTCCATATTCCTCTTCTTGTTGTGAACTTCAATGAACAAAATGCCAGGGAATAATGCTGCTAATGCAGTCCAAATCCTGCACTGACAGTTTTAAAAATACTATGCCTGCAAACAAAACCAGCCCTTCTTATGAGTAGATTGTCACCTTGTAATGCTTTCAGCTCAAATTTTCCTGTCACAGGACACAAAAAAAAATCTGCATACACCCAGCACCTTCCCTTGTGTTAACATACAATTCCAACAAACATCCCTTTCTATTGTATGGATGCTATTTGATTATTCTGGGTTAGATTTTCTAACCAGCTTAATTTTTTGTCAGAAGCAGCAAAGCAGGATATCTCAACCACAGAAAGGCATGATTTAAGCTGCCAGTGGAACAAGGGTGAGAGCTGACACACCATCACTCACACAGTTAATTCGGTTCAGAAGCCTACAGAAACTATTTCACAACAGTGAGCACTACAGGAACAATGTCAACTGACTGAAAAAAAGTAAACAGGCAACATTCAAAGAGGTTTTTAATTTGGGTTATCTCTAATTTTCACTTGGCTAAATAGAATACCTAAAGGGATTAAAAATTCACTAAGTCTGTGACGGGAGTTTCTTTACTAACTGTAGCAGGGCCCTCTCTTCTACTATTTTAACAGGTTTTGGACTATGGCCTAGTGGTTAAAGGAACACTAATCATTCATTGTAACCACAAGTTCTCCAGAAATCTGCCTGGCTTGTCTACGGTCCCCCAGCCCTGCCCCTTCCTCCAGCATGCATCCCTTTTGCACCTTACTGCTGCGAGAGCGAGTTGCAATTAAAAGCAGTAGCAGATATTGCCTTGACTGCAATTCCCCACTCCAGCCACTGCCCCAAAGAGAAAAGGTAAACATGAACACATACCTACAGGAAATAAATTTATTTCAGACTTGTAAATTACATGTTTGCACTATGGTATAATGCAGTCTACACAACTCACCTTCCGTGGGCAGGCTAGTTGGCAGGTGGGAAGTGGTGGATCCTCTGGTGGTTGTTAAAACTCTGAACTTTGTGGTGGTTGGCTGCAGGGTGCTGGTGGAGTATGGAGATGTTTCGGTTGTGTCTACATTCCTCTCACAAATCTTATCTTTTGACTATTGGGAAACAACAAAAACAAAGAAGAGAAAATTAGTTCTCAGCAGAAACTGTCATTGAATGAAGAATTTAAGCATGGACAAGCTGTCAGGATAAAAAAAATAAAATAGAACTTCAAGAGCTTTTTCTTTTCCTTTGTTTTTCCTTTGAAGTGCTCTACAGAGCATTCAGCAACACATATTTTTCTATTTAGCTGCAAAACTTACAATACTCCATTGTTAATGACAAGGCTTCAAAGCCATCCCTGAATGTCAAACATGCTATTTCCCCCAATCTGATTTTAACAACTGAGATTATCACACAAATTTTCACTCTTCTATTGTGAATGCTCACTGCCATTGGTCTGGGTGCCATAACACATGTTAAAAGAGTTACGTGGGAATTAAATTGTAGCTCTTCATAGTGAGTAATGTATAGGTAACAGAAGCATTTAATGAGGCTTTACATACAGTTATCACAAAAGAATATGCATATATGGGTAAAATATGCCTATAGAATATTTATAAACCACACTATAGAACAACACATTCACTATATGCCTATAATTTCTATATAATATTAACATTTCACATATTATGTGCATATATATAGCAATTATATAAAATATAAGCATTATGAAATATAAACTAAACTATAAAATATAATAATCATAAAATACTTCAATAGAAATCTCAAGGGTTTTTTTTTCCAATTTCTGGACACTTTTAAAATTCTACAGGTGTAATGAATATATTCTTTTACGGATCAAACAGTTTTGCAGGAAAATACATACAATTAGCTAGCAGCAAACATGACAGCTGCCTGTAACTCCTGTGGTCCCCATTCATCTTAATGAGAAATGGAATCCCACAAAGTCTGTTCATTTTATTGAGATCTGCCTGTCAAAACACAGTGGGTGTTGTCTTTCTTTTAATATGTATAGTATTTTATCGTCCTTTCTTTTATCAGAAACAATATGTTACATCAAAAAAAGGTATCAGTACCTGCAGTATAATTATTCCTTAAATTTCTTCATGTTTTAGCTTGAAAGCCACTGTTAATTTCACTGACACAATTTAATCAAAATTTAGCTCAAAATCTATATTACAGAGAAGGAAACATTACTATGAGAATCTTCATTATTGATCTTATTGAATGAATACATCTAAAATTAACCTCTGTGTGCTAATTATTGATCCTTCATTGAACTCCAGCAGCCAGCTCAGACATCATTCTGGAAGATGCTAAGTAAGCTGTTCTGTCTACTCCAGAGAGCCTGAAAGCTTGACTGTGCACAGCAATCAAGCAGCCTGAAACTGCAAATCAAACTATTAGCTTCTCAGATACACTTAGTGTATCAATAATTTCCTCTCAGATCATGCACTAAGCCTTGAAGTACTAGCTGTGTTGAAATACGAAGGGAAGGGCAGGATGCTACTGTCATGCAGAGAGCGGATTTTGGATAACTTCATCTACAGGCACGACTGAGTCCTCGCTAATTATAATCTGGGTTAAAGCAATATAAAGGTTGTGCACTATAATAACAAATACTCCCAGTAACTTATTCTATTTTCTTTAAGAGATTGTCCTCCACAGACAAAAAATCTCACAAAATTCTCTTTTTAAATCAGAAGATTACAAACTGTAAAGCTGAAGCTTCAAACCCATGTAACAAGGTAGTATGCAGGATGCAGTTATTTTGCAATTACAGTTATATGAAAAAAATTTATTCCATCAAACTGGATTTATATCATTGCTGCTCTTTGCTTCTACTGAGAATAAAACAGAATGTGCTTTTCTGAATAAACACTTGGGGCTACATTTTGCCCTCAGTTTCACCCGACATTACATTTCAGAAGGGCTATGTTGCTGAAACTCATGACAGAATTTATCCCTTTTGTCCAAAATGGAAAAGTAACTCTTTTTTTTTTTTTTTTTATGGCCATCAGGAGATTTAAAGTGTCATAAATTAATTTGTTCGTATTTTCACAATCCTCAAATGAAAAGAAAAACAACAAACCAAAAAAAACCCCTCAGCACCCAAACCAAAAAACCTTCTAAAGGGAATACACTGGGAAAGAAAAAGCAGGAAGATATTTATACATGTGTCTTAAAAATGGACTCCTCTGGTCCAGGAGTACCCCGATGTCCCTGGTTGACAATCCACTCCTACCATGGTCAGATATCTTTCTTGTTACCTCACTGCCTCTCCATGAATGGAAATCCAAATGCCTTGCAGTTTTGTTGGGGTTTTTTTTTTTTTTGTTTGTTTGTTTTTAAAAAAAACCCTCTTTGAATTCATCTATGTAATTTATTCTGTACTAAACGATTTGGCCAGATTTCATATCAAAATGCAATGCCTGTTTTTCACTCGAGACTACTCTGGCAGAGGATTCTCTGAAATGAGGAACATCACAGCTTCTTGCCCTTTTCTGGGAAGAGTCAGAGATCTAAGGGAAAAACAGTGCAGGGACACTGTTTTGGAGCAGGCTTTCTGGTATTTTTATTTTTTATTTAAAGAATTTTCTCAGAGCTAAAATGTTTACGTTGTGTCCATTTTATTCCCTCCAATAGGAAGTGAAATTGCTCAGCCTATTTTTCTTTATTATGCCTCACAGCATTTCCACTGAATGATAAAGACAAATATAGCATGTCTTTGGCCTTGAAACCATGCTTCTTAAGCTGTAGAAATTAATCAAAAGCATCATAAATAGATAAATGGCCTCTGACGGGCTGAGAATGTAAACTACTCACATACCTCTTCAGGGCAGCCACTGTCTACCCAATCTTGCCGGTGACGGTCAAATCCACTGGAGCATCTTTAAATAATGAAATAGACAGAAGTTGTCCATATGGAAATAGGAGGAAAATAAGAACAAAAGGAAGGGAGAGGAAGAGAATGACAGAGAAAATAAGTAAATGATGTGATTTACTTTAAAATCCATTTGATTTATGGTATTACTTTTATTCAAGAAGCTGTTGCTTCCAATATGAGTCAATCATTTAGTCCACTTCAGTGAAAGGTGTTTCAGTGAATGAGTTTTTATTTTAGTTTTTTTTTTTTTTCAATTTGTAGTTTTTAAACAGGAAAGTCTCCCTTCCACTGGATAATTATCCTGAAGACTGCACTGAGCCAGAGCAGTTTTAAGTTTGATTTCAGACATACGGATGTAAATTGGTTTAATTATTTCTGTCCAGACTTCTTAGCCAGGAACATTTAATCCCACAAAGGATGTAGTGAACCAGTCACTGCTTTTATCAGGCCAGGTGATCTGAGACATCAAGGTACACATACAGCGATGCGATCAACGTTCACAGATTTAGAGAACAGCTCCTCTGAACAGCCTTCAGGACAATTAAAGAATACTATACAGATGCTTCTTCCTCATCCTCAGCTGCAGAAAACTTAAGTTGCATGCATGTTTCTTATCGAATTAGGTGAGTTTAATAACTTACTTGCAATATCCTTTCTCATTGGCAATAGGTAGCAAAGAAATTTTAAAACAACTTGTAACACTTTAATATGATGAATCCCCTGGCAATCCCCATCTCACAAGAGTGTTATCAGTGTTTACACAGTAATTTAGGGTTTCCTAGATAACAGGGAGCATTCCAAATAGAAAGCATTATTACAACAGCAAGCAAATGACTAGACCATGATGTTTGACTTTGAAAGAGATTCTCTCCAGCTGTTATGAGACAGGATGATGTAATTTGGCATCCATGGTCATAACTTACCTGACAGTACAGCAGATAACCTTCTCACTGTCTTTTAATAGGACTAGGCAAGCAAAAAAGGCCACTGTTATGGTTAGCTGTACTTTTGGGGTGATTTTTTGTTCTTAATGAACTGAAAGATGCTGAGACATGCCAACTACTACCCTACCTCAATCAAGGCAAACAGGTGCATTTGGAAGAATGGAAGAGTGGAATAATTTTTATATTAGGAGAGGATGTTACAAGAGGATGTAAACAACATTAACAACACACTTGGGATAATAAACTTCTCCATATAATTATTCTGAGTAGAACCTACAATGTCTTTGACAAAAGATTTTGAGAAAATTTTGATTCTCTTGTTAGTTGTACTTGCACTGATCTACATTCCACCACTTGTAATGGTACTAAAAAAAATACACCAACCCTAACAGGTGTCAATTATCACTCACTGTATAGCAAGTGACTTCCAAAAACCTACTGCTGTGAAGAGAACAGATGCCCAAACCAGAAACGTATTCCAGAGAGTACAGAAACCTCCTTCTTACTGCATAGGAATAAATGCCACCACGAGGAGTTTTTTCTTCTTGCTGAAGGGTGAGTGAATGAGTGCTATGCTGGGAGCTCAGTGCTGCCTCCCCATCTTTGGGGTGTTTCTCTCTCCATGAATGTTTGAGAGCACAAGAAGGACCTTACTAAGTAGAAAGAAATGATGATGTGACATTCCAGTTATGAAAATAACATATTTTTGGAAGTCTCAGTCTCTCCTACTTTTGTCTAAAGTTTGAAGGGCTTCATTAGCAACTTCTGTGCCCATCTTGAAGGAGAACTGGACTAAGTTTCAGATGTACTGAATACACACAAACCAATTACATTTCAGTCATACTGCTCTGGCTAAAATCTAATGAATTTGATGATATTCTGTAAGTCTGAAAATCAAACCCAATGTTTAGACATGACATCAAGCCAGTCCATACATTTCTAGAGTAGAGGCAATTACTGCAGTGACATATCCATGCTATTTCAAACCCCACTGTACTGAGACCTAGTAACGATTAATGACCTTTTATCTTAGATTTTATCTTGCATCTAAACGGTTTCAAACTTGAGGCTCCCAAGACTGATTTAATAAAAGCTTATTCCAGGCACACTCATTTACAGTTCTTAATTCTTTTCCAACATGTGACTGAAATGTGGGGGCAAATAACATTGCTGGGGTTTCCCCAGGAATTAACAAACCACCAAAAGTTGAATTCAACATGCAAGGTCTTGGAATGGCTCTTTCAAACATCTAAGACATTCTTCAGACGACCCTACCTTAAAGAAAAATACATTAAACCCTGGGCACTATTTATTTAACATTTTCTATCAATGTAATGGTGGGACCAAACAATATTATCAGAAAGCAGCTTTATCAGGAACAAGATAGGCTCTAAGCAAACCTGTTTGTGAACTTCCTTTGAGGAACGTCAATGAGATATCAGCCATAGCAAATACTACCATTGCTGCGTCACTGAGTTAGAATTCTGGGAACTGTCATTTCAGTGCACCACCCGCTCTACTGGCTGCATTTTTAAGACCTTCATCTAGTAGCATGGTGATAATTGCCTGTTGCCATTAAAACATTGGAGCAGATTTGATTAGCTGTGGTGTTTATGCCATCTGTCAACACAGCCATTTTATAACAACTTCATTTTCAAGTGATGACCGAAATCAACTCCTAGCAAAGCAATAACAAAGATGTTCTAGAAAATTATAATAGGGACATTCATTAAATGTAAGGAATTCCAGGATTTGTGTGGAACTTGGGAGTACTGGTTCAGGGAGCAAAAGGAGAATTAAAGTCTCACATGTATAGCAATGATGATTTAGTTTAACTAATGCAGCTGAGTCTGGGTAACAAGAAAGAAGTGAGAATCCTTTTAGTAAACTGAACATAGGCAGAAAGGAGACGGAGATGTCATCAGATCTACCAGATACCATCTACCTATATCTGGCAGAGAATATTTAAATGACAAGAAGTGTCCATTCAGTACATGAGCTGAAATTCTCTGCTTCTTTTAAGAGAGTTCAGTGACGATTAATAGTAATAATAAATCAATTACTCTGTACACAGAAAATTCATCAAGGTTTAACCTGTAAAAGCTAAAAACATAATGGAAAATTATTGGAAAGAAAAGGGACAAAGTCTGGATGGAAAAATCTTTTCACCAGGTTGAGCTGGTATAAAACAATCAAGAGCATTAAAATGTACAACATGTTCCCTTTATACCAACTATTCCCTAGGGTTCTTTTTGCCAGGATATCTGTAACAGCATATGAAGAATGGATTTCTGGGAACTGAAGGGCATTCCAGAAATAGGAAATTATTTCTTAAATACCATGTAATTACTCAGCCCAGTTAAAATGTTTATTAACTCCTCTAAATAAAAGGTTAATCTGGAAAATGAAATAGAAAATTGAACAGACAGAACTCTTATCTGCCTTTAACCACTAAGGAAGGCCCATCACATTAGGGAGAGATTAAGATACTTGCTAGGTTGTTTGAATTACTAAAAAGAGAACATTTTAAAATGGTGAGGGAGACAGGAAGTAAAATATAAAAAGAAATATATACATAAAAATATTATTTAAAAATACTGTAAGCCTTGAACTTTGTGTCTGTTCAACTGAAAAAAAAAACCCTAATCATAGAGTGATTTTTTTGAGTGGGAAAAAGCACTATCTTTCTGCCTAGACTGCCTTTGCTGCAGAACAAGCTTCATTTTCATTCCTCCATCCTTTGAATATCACTTTCTTGTCACACTGTGCTGTCTGGGAAAAGACTGTATTTTCCTTCCTTCCTTATTTTCCCCTTTCCCTTGTCATAAATGCAGAACTTTATTTATCACAGCTTGAAGTGCTTATGAAGTTCATATGAAGTCTCACTGTGAGTGACTGTGGTATAAATTTGTAAAGTATTTGAATGGTATTTGTGTTTATCATCTAGCTCAATACACTTAATCATATATCTGAATTCAAGCATATTGTGTTGTCTGTATTTATCCTTTACTTAAACATGTTGCTTAATTAAAGTGTACTTCAGCATAGGATGACAATTTGGATTGTTAGAAGAGGATTTGCTCCCACCTTGCTCTTATAAGGTAAGAATAGATAAAGTGACTTGCTTAATACAAGGATTTTAAACTTACAGCACTACAAAAAGCCTGTACTTTTTAATGTTTATGAAAAAATCCAAATATAATTACTAAGGTAAAGTTAATACTTGATGCAGCATGTCTGTGTCTGCAGCACTGAATTACATCATTGTGTGCCTCTCAAAATTTCCAACATTCAGGTGATGATAAGGAGGGTCAGAGAGTGGCAAAAATTTCAGCAGGCATTCTTCAACTTGATGATGGTTCCACAATTTTATGGGACAGAGAGTTTAGAAAAATATAGCTACGTGTTCTGTAAATACTCCTGCAATATCATGGAATCATAGAATCATAGAATGATTTGGGTTGGAAAGGACCTTAAAGATCATTGAGCTCCAACTCCCCTGCCACGGGCAGGGACACCTCCCACTAGCCCAGGGTGCTCAAAGCCTCATCCAGTCTGGCCTTGAACACGGGGCATCCACAGCTTCCCTGGGCAACCTGTTCCAGTGCCTCACCACCTTCATAGTGAAAAATTTCTTCCTCGTATCTAATCTAAATCTGCCCTCTTTCAGCTTATAACCATTACCCCTTGTCCTGTCACTACATTCCCTAATAAAGAGTGTTTCCTGATCCCTCCTGTTGGTCCCCTTCAGGTACTGGAAGGCTGCTATTAAGTCTCCTTGGAGCCTTATCTTCTCCAGGCTGAACAAGCCCAACACTCTCAGCCTGTCCTGATAAGGGAGGTACTCCAGCCCTCTGACCATCTTTGTGTCCCTCCTCTGGACTCACTCCAACAGGTCTGGGTCTTTTTTTATGTTGGGGGCCCCACATCTGAACACAGTACTCCAGGTGGGGTCTCACAAGAGCAGAGTAGAGGGGGAGAATCACCTCCTTCGACCTGCTGCTAATGCTTCTTTTGGTGCAGCCCAGGACACAATTGGCTTTCTGGGCTCCAAGTGCAT